CAAGGTGATTTAAACTGAAAGATCAATTTAAACGAGCTCTAAAGGGTAGGTCGGAGCAGAAAGAAAAGGCTGGGTCATACAGCACTGTGCAAACAAGGGGTAAACTCTAAGCAGTTTGGGGTCAATTGAGTAAAGAAGTGATATGAAGAGAGAAGAGTTTGCATGAAATTAATCGGTTCTGCAAACCTCTTTCATTCTTCGTTTAGAGTCAACCCAATGACGACATTTTTTTGTGGAAAACATACAGAGAAACCTGAAAGTCCTGGTAATCAAGAATTTGGGAGAAAATGTAAGTATGCAAACCCAGATTATTTCCGTTTTTGAGTTGTGCGTCAGAGCTTGGTGGGCTGGATCTTCTTAATTAAACTGGAAGGAAATCTCCCAAGAAGAAGAGTTACAGAGTGAGGGAGTGGCATTTATTAAGCTCCCGTTCTTCAATCAGGCGCTTGTGAAGTGCTTCATAGACACTGTTTAATTCAAGTCAAAATCAGCATCTGTGAGACTGGAGGGGCGTTAATAAGCTTCTCCAAGACTCAGTTTCCTTACCAGTAAAATAAGTTTTAAGTAATCATAAAGTGAACAGCTAATATTCATTCAGCATGCAGGCACTGTGCTAAGTATCTCAATGAATTTTCTTATCTCATTCTCCGAACAATCTTATGCTCTGGGTAACAATAGTATCTCCATTTGCCAGTTTTATTTTTCAAATTTAAGAAAAAGTTCCAGGGAGGGTCATTGACTTAACCAAGTCACATAACTGCCAAATGGCTCAGCTGACATATGACCCCAGGGCTGTCCCCAAAAAAGCTCTATCTAGTTGTCCTGTAGGATGGGTTGACTTAGAAGAACTTTCCTTGATCACTCCATGCAGGCTTCATTAATAGAGTCCTCCTCCCAACTCTTGCATATTTCTTTGTCTTGCAGGTGTGTTTCTTCATTAATTTATGGCTCTATCATCGGAACCCACAGCTGACTAGTGAACTGATTAGTAAGTGCTGGCAGAGGGAAGGGACAGGAAGTCCAGGAGAAAGTTCCGACTCCTCCCCTTTTCTCTTTCATTGCATCATCCCTTATCCCATCTTGACACTTCTCCCACACCCAAAATCCTTTCTTGCCCGAAGAGGAAGAATGGTCTCTAACAATAACAATCCTAATGAGTTCAGCGCCCATTTACTGAGGGGGTCCTGTGCGCCAAGTCTAGGGTTAAACACTCTGGAGCTCTACCACTAGCTAAGTGCATGCTGGTTTCAATTCCATTCTGGTTCTCAAAGCCTAAGAAGCTGAGATATAAGTGGAGGCTTCTTTGATGGAGAAAATCTGCCCAATATGCCATTTGCTCTCCTAAAATGTATGATGCTGCATTAGGAGGAGAAAATTGGCCTGGTTTCAGCTTAGACAAAAACTGTCTCTTTCAGTAGTCTACCACCAACCACCCAGAGTTTCCACATCTGCCAGAACCCAAAGCAAGGAATGCAAGATTGAATCTTCACAGCTCAGGCCCCCAGCAGGAATCTGAAAACCAATAGGATTGCTAGGCTGAAAGGACTCTTACTTCATTCACTGAATTTTCACTATGTAGTGCTAGATGTTGGAGTTTTTGGAGTTCCTTTAAATGACTCTCAGCAAGCAATTTTCTGGCCTCTGCTCACATACCTCCACTGACAGGCAGCTCATTACTTATGAGGTGGGAGGTTTGAGGCAGTTCATCTGGGTGAGTCTTGAAGCTCCCAAAGCTCAGCTCCAAGCCTCACTCAAAGTAAATGTGACCAACACTCTTGCTCTGCTGTTATTGGAGGTGGCCTGGCAAGTAGAAAACACGGAGTGTCTGACACCATAATAGAATCCATGTCCTTGGGTTGATTAGTTTAGTTATGTAATACTCTAAATTAATGCTATCCAACAAAAATATAACATGAAACACGTGTAATTTTGAGGTCTTAGTAATGACACTTTAAAAGGGAAAAGGCATATTATATTAACTTTAGTAATATATTTTATTTACCAAATACAACAAATGTGTTATGTCAACATGTAATCAATATAACAATCATTAATTAAATATTTTACATCCTATTTTTGTACTAAGTATTTGATGTCTGATGTCTATTTTATACTTATAGCATGGTTCTATTTGGACGAGCTGCATTTCAAGTGCTCAAGGTTCACATGTGGCTAGTGGCTGCCATATTGGATAGTGCAGCTCTAACAAAGCTAATTGACTGCTAGTTGTATAAAACCTTGAAAAATCTAAAGCATCTCATTTTATCTCCACCTATACAACTAGGCTGCCATCTATTACAGAAGTTCTGCAGACATATTTGGTTCCAGCGAAAGTGGAATGTGAATGAGTTGCCAATATTAAAAGTAAGGAATATGTGTTTTGATCAACCAGGGCATCTGAAAATATTTTGTCTCCTGGTGTCATGAAGTAGGCCCAGGTGAGATCAAAGATCCATCTTAGTTGATGAGAGGGATACCAGGGAACAGCAAGAAATTGTCATCCAGGAATAGGGGTGGATGGGTGTTCAGGAAGGATTATGGTTCAGCACCATGGATAGTGGACAGCAGAACCAATGTGATGTGGAAGGGGCCAAAGAAAGACTCTGTGCTCTAGCTTACAGCCTCCTTAGAAGGGATATAATGTTGATTAATATCTTGATTATTTCACAAAGAATCAGGTTCTGCTTGCTGGTCTCCTCTTTGGAATGTCCTCCATACTCCAAGCCATCACCTATGTGGATGTTCATACTAATTGCTGCTGTCTTGAATTTCATTACCCACCTTGGTCTAAAAGATCCCCTACTTCTCTGAGTATAGAGGCTGTTTTCCTGTAAATTACCAGAATCTGTGTAATGATTCCACATAATCTTCCTACAATAAAATTTTTTAATCTCTGATCTGCGGACTGTCCTGCTTCCATACTGCCCTGTGGGCAGAGGCAACTATCGCTATAGCCAGTGGTGAGTATGGTAAAAAATGACAAAATTTGAAAGGTGGGGGAAGATGACTGGGTTAATTTAGCTTTTATCTCAAAGATACCTGGACACTCTGGTCTAGAGTTTTCCAACAGCTAAAGAACAAGGCTTCGCTATCTTGTATAAGATGTTTTCTGAAGTGTTTCTGTGACCTGGGGTAGCTCAGCTGTGAAGTGAGAATGTTGGTCTCCTCATCTAAGCACTTCCAGGCAAGAACACTCTACAAAGTTATGGTTTATGGGAGAAAACTTATCTTGACCCTGGTAATCCTATTTTTCTTCCCTTTACCACCAAACTTCTCAAAAGATATTGTTATTCACTGTCTCTACTCCTTTACCTTCATCTACTGCTCAGTTTTAGATAATCTGGCTCCTTCCCCGAACTCCTCAAAATAACTATGATCTCCTTCATGGTCAACACCAGGGAACCGTTATTGGTGTTCATGTTCCTCAAGTCATTAGCAATTAACACTTTGGGTGACTACTCCAACCTACTCTCCACCTGCGCATCCTCCTCTTTTTCTTCCTCATCACCACCTTGATTCTTGTATTGCATCTTCTGTGTATTTTATATGCCTTATGTAACTTACTCCTTTAAATAAAATGTGTTTGTTATTAAGCTTTTGGTCTCTTGGTTCCAAATCCTTCTTTCTGTACTCTGCTTTGTGATGCTGGGTCGTTATGATCTCTTACCAAACCAGAAGCCACATGCCCAAGGTGGCCGCTGGGCTGCTGTGAAATTTGCAAAGGACTTCGCACATCTTTCACAGCCTGGGGGAGGGAAAAGTACCTTTGTCTTAGAGCTCAGAGCAGCTGAATTGTGGGATCCAAACTGTGTGGTGCAGGGAAGTGGAAGAGGGACGGAGTGGTGGCAGGTGAGGTCAGGGAGAATAACAGGGCACCCTGCAGGGCCCAGAGGAATAGCATGAATTTTGGCTTTCACTCTGTTGGCAATGAGAAAGTTTGGAGGGTTTTGAGCAGAAGAGTCTATGGTCTGACTTATGTCTTTAAATGATTGCTCAGGCTGCTGTGTGGAGGAGATTGTAGGTGGGCAAGGAAAGAAGCTGTGAGACCACACAGGGCGCCCCTGCAATAGTTCAGGCCAAGATGGTGGCTGAGTTGTTAGATGTGGTCAGATTCTGAAAGTGTTGGCAGGATTTCCTAACATATGGGTCGTGGGAGATGGGGGAAGAGGAGTCAAGGGAACTCCAAAGGCTGGGGCTAGAGCAACTGGATGGATTGTAGTGCCATTTCTTGAGATGGTGAGGACAGGAGGACTTGAACTAAATTCATTCTGACTCCCAACCCCAGAGCAATAAGGTAAACCTAATCCTTTGGCTTCAAGACTTTCTGTCCCTGTCCTGTAAATTTTATTCACAAACCAGCAGTCATTCATGCATTCATTTCATTTCATAAGAATTCATTAGTAACTACCATGTGGTAAACATGGGAGACACTGGACACATGAGGATTAATTAGACTCACACCTGCCCTCAAGAAAATGATAATCTGGTGAGGGATTCAGAGATCAACCATCCTCACACATCCATGTATTGTCACTTAGTCACTCAACAAACATTTCAGCAGCACTTAGTTTCTGGCAAACAAGCATCATGGTGGCACTGAGTATGATCTTGCCCTTAAGAAAGTCTGAGTCCAATTAGAAGGCCTGAGATTAGCCATCCTTGCCTATTCATTCATTCATTCACTTTTTCACTGAAAAGTCACCAACATCCAGCTGTGCAGGATCTGGGAGAGAACTCCTGCTGGATGACCCAACAGAGGGCTCTAGTGGGCGTCTCCAAGCAACAAGGGCCCTGCTAGAGCCCTGAGCTCCCCCCAGGCTCTACCTGCTGCCTTCACCATGTGACCAGCTGCCAGAGCTCATCACAACACCTCCCCCACAGCATTCTGGGGGCTAACTCTGATGTCATCTTCTCGCAGAAAACCTTGAGTCCACCTATCCCAAAGGCCACCCCGACAGCCAACTGACCCTTCTTGACACCTGCAGGTCCCAGAACCCAAGATGCATCCATTTTGGAAGCTCCTGATCCTCCTCTGTTTGCTGTCCTTGCCCTCAGCACTGCACAAGCAGCCCTGGCCTGGCCTGGCCAAGGCCCACGCAAACAGCAAATCCACCCTGGTGAGAAGTAAGCTAAGCCCATGCTCTGCCGGTTGTCACAGGGCGGGTGGGGACGGCATCACCTGGGCCTCGCCACTGACTTGCTGTATGGCATTGGCTCAGTCACTCACCCTCTTTTCTTCCTTTTTTCTTAGACCTCAAGTACAGACAATTGAGGTTGACTTGATCATGCACCAATTCATAGCACATTATCATCATCATGAGTCAGGGCAAGGCCCCTCTTTGATTTGATTTTATGTTATTTTCCTTTTTACCTCTTATTCGCACTCCCATTCCCTCTTTCTTGGCAGGCACTGCCGTGTGTATGAGTTTAAATATGCCCAGATCTTTGTAAAGCATGCAGTGTTTTTACTTTACATAATGATACTGCCCAATAGATCTCATTGCTTCTGACTGG